TCATTTCTTTGCAATTAAATTTCCTTTCAATTTAAGCTCCAACTGGCATCATAAAGCATAGTATGGTAGGCAGCCGGTATAACCAAAGTTGATTGCAAATCGGTGATGTCGATTGATGTTCTCTGAATGTGCAAATTTATGTATCTTCAATTATTGTTATCTTTGAAGCTTAAATTTAGTTCGATTCCCGACTATGTCTAAAAGCTATGGAGAACCATCCCTTTATGCACACTTTATATTATTTTGGATGGGGTACAACAAGCTGCGAATGATGACGTCCAAACCCATGTGGAAACTCCACCCGATTGAGAAGAAATGGCTCCCCGTACCTGTGGTACGTGCGTGGTGGTTACCATGGTGCTAAACGACATCCTTGCCACCTTCAGTCTTGATGATGAAGAGTAACTGGGTTGTTGGTGAGGTACGAGGCCAGAAGAGAGAAAAAAGTTTTCAAGAATTGCACAACATGTAGGTTAATACGAATCTATGTGAGAAAACACGAAGGTTCGACGTGGTGCCAATGATGTGGAGAGAGCAAACTCTGCCAAGCTCTCTCAATTCCTCGCCCTGTGTCAAAATCGATTTTTCTTTCTCCTTTTTTTGACATGAGTGCCCACTGTCCAGAGAATTTCATCAACAAGCCCGTCACGGAAGCCTCTTTCACAAGAACCACGACGCATACAGAATACAAAATCCTTGGTGAGCTTCGGTAAATGAAATGGTCGGTCACTCAAAATAAAGTCGATTAGGAAAGGAATCGACTCGGAGTTTTTTCATCAACAGCGTTTGGTAACTGCTTGAATGAGAAAACAAATCAATTTCAGAGGAATTCCTACAGGGCGTTTACCTATTTGTCAAACTGCTTGAGACTATTTTTTCCTGCAATTTTCACGACTTCGTCATCGGTTTGTGCATTTATTTTACTCGGCAAATTTGTTGTTTTAAATATTAAGCGATTATCAATTTTTCGCTTTGTTTTGGGCATAGAAAACCAAATAATTATATTGTTATGCGCTAACGTAGCTAATGAGGGCGTTATCTGATCGAAAAGCTTAGACTTTGATTGACTTTGCTTCGTACTGATCTACCACATTCTGTTTGGCACAGTGACCACAACGGAATAATTTTGAAACTTTCATGAAACATTTTCTCAGATATCAAGATGAAAAAAATCTCCATCATAATCTCGTGATCGTGATAAAACTTACAATCATAAACATGAAAAGTACAAAAAGAAATCTGACTTTCATGAATGTTCAGTGGAACATTTGGCACTCACAATTTGTTTACAGCCGTACCAAATTGTCGTTGGACAAAATTGACAGAAACTGATTTTTTTCCCGTTTCATGCTCTTGTTCGGTACAACCTGAATTCTGTATGGACAAAAAAACGATAGAAAGAAACGACCTCAAAAACCATGAAAGGGCTTTAGTAATTCGTCGACGAAGAGGGTCATGCTGTAGAAGTAACTGCTGTGGGCAGAAAATCAAACTGTGCGCTCGTCAACTTGGAGAGAATTTTGTATTTTCACGGTCTGGGCAGGTTAAAAAAAAATTGCAATTTTCCACCTTCCACTTACGCATCCTGCGGGCATTTCACTTGACAATGGCGGATGTTGCATTATCGTTATCGTATTTTCAATTTCCATAATAACTGTTGAGTAGTAAACGTGGACTAAGGTTGGTCCTTTGTATGGAGAGATTGTGTTGGCATCGAGCTGTTCAGACAAGCCTCGGAAATCAATGTTCAGAATTTCTTTCCAAAGATATTTCGCCATCGGAGCAATCATTTGATTCTTCCCCTGGTATGTGCTGTATTCGCACACGTCAGGTTTGATCGTAACAACAGTGCTTATGCATGAGAAAGAAAGCTGCAACAGTAATTGCACTGTTGTGACTTTATCTAAAGTCACCAGACAATAACGAGAAAGCACAGATGACATCTGTCTGAGTGTAGACGATGACGGATTATTTCCTCTTTTTGTAATTTCAGTTAATCCGCAGTTCAACATCCAACTCAATCGAGTGAAATAAGACATATCCATATGACATTTAGCAGTCAGTGTAATGTAATCAGAGAAACGAATAATTGTATTACATCCAGAATGGGACGCAAAATGTGGCAATTTACATATTCGTATTTCCACGAACGACAAATCAGTCATTTGCCTCTTATATTTTTAATAGTTCGCGTAGTCCTTGGGAAATTAGAAGTCTGTATTGAGGAAAACACTCAATTTTACTGTAAAAAACCCTTAAAAATCTCGATTGATGGGGGACTACTTTCGCTACCCTTCAAATGACGTAACTGATTACAGCTGCAGGTAATGACAAATTATCAATAGTTCTCCGTTCATTTATTTTAGTACAGGTTAATAAAAACGTTTGTCCATAGATACAAATTGCACAGGAGTCGAATCCAAGGGGTAAATAATCAACCCCCCCCCCGTCTTTTTCGCACTCTTTTTTGTCTATTTAATTGAACCAATTACGCTTGCCTGCTCATGCACTCGTCGACCGTAATTTGGGCGGCACTGAAACAGGTTTCGTTTGTTCTGTACCGAAATGTCGCGAATTTAATCAACAACATCTATTTCCATATTCGTGCCGACAGGGGAAGTTGGAGGGGAAAGGATGGCTCGCTGCTGCTGCTGATGTGCACAGTCTTAACAGTGGGCCGTTTAAGAGGGGCTGATTTGGGCTACCTTTTTACCCAAAGCACTTGCTTTTAGCAGCATCTGCTGCGTGATCAATCTGTTCCTACGCACTTGCACATGCGCACAGTCTCGGGGAAATCAACCTACAGGCTTAAGAGATGAAGTCTGTCTTCAGCTCACGTGATTGATCAGACAGGTTTTCATTTTAATTTTCATGACGTGGAAAGACTGAGAACATTGCTGGGATGCCAGCCACAAGTTGTTCTGGTCTATTGGTGCCAGTTCGATTTCTTTGAGTGTAGGGGGGCAGGTGGGAGTAACGTGGCTTGCCCGAGGACACATCACGGCCTGCAGCTATAGAGTCGTGACATTCTGATTACTGAGTCCCCAACCACTATAGGCCAATCTGCCCTGTAAGCAAAACATGTCCAGGGACGCGAAGACGACACAGTCATGTACTCAGATCGAAGTTCGTGCACACCCCAAATCGCCTACCATCACTCGGGGTTTTGCGCGTCGTGTATACCCTGGACACCCGCAGCAGCCTGTGTTTGCCCTGTTGCTGCACTGGGCAACGTTCTCCCCTTCATACTGCGTGGGCGCGGGTCCATTAAAGTGAGATTGACAACTTTGCCTTGCAAGTTTCATTTTCCACTCTCTTCCTCTCATTTTAGTCTACTTATCTACGCTATTTAGTGAGGTGATGTGACATATTTATGTATCTCTTACATCAGAAATGAATGACGTTCTCCAAGCCGCACCTTCTACATTCGGAAATAAATCCTTTGATGAGACCACCTCACTAATGTACCCCTAAATTTTCATTTGAGTTTGATCCTGTTCCATATTGGCAATTGAGCTGTCTTTGAAAAACTTGATTAAGTACGCCGGTTTTAAAGATGTACGTTTCCCTCCCTTCAAGGGCTGGCATTTCCTTCCTAGAATTTCTCCCACAGCGGTCATATCAACATTACCATGCACTCCTGCTGTGCTGAAGTCTTATTGAAGTCCTTGTAGTCATCTGCAGAAATTAATCCCATCTGATTACTCAATGATCAAGGTTATCCCGACCGGGTATGTTCCGTGATTCCCGTCTGCATTCTTTGCATTGTCAATAAAAGCTGTAGCATTTTGAACAATCTGTTGTCGACCGACAACAGTAAATTGCGAGGATATCATATGCACGGCAGTTTGTCCATACGTGATTTCAGGAGAGATAACGAGAAGACGCTACATGCGGGCGCCAACGCTTACGGGATCATCCTCGAATAATTAAAGTTCTTCGATTTGAGGATTTTTACGTAGGGTGGAGATTGGTATGTAAAGGCATAAACTTGAATGCTTTAAAGAAATTCGTACTTTTTTCAGTTGAAATGGTGCCCAACGATAACACCGATCAAGGTCATAACATAATGCACGGTAGAACCTACATCTAAACTCAACTTGGCCAAAAGTATTCAAACACCCAAAAAGGAAACAAGTGGTTTTGTGGTAAGATTCTGTGAGGCTTCCCAACTACAACAGGCAAGACATCTGGCCCAAACAGAGACCCATTTTTCACCCGAGATACTCAGATTACAACAAAAACATCTCTCGGTGTGGATTATCACTTCAGCCGTAATCGACCAAGTGTAGCTGAGCAGACCTCTCCTTGAAACTGAAATCTGTTTTTCGATGTTCCTTGAGTTAACGGAGACAACTCGCGGTACAGCATCCGATTATACAAAACCGACCAAGGATGAACGGGGGAAATCAATTAGTGTGATTATCCATTCACGGGTAGGCCTATGTACGGGAAGGAAAAATACGCACCATCGCCAAGGCTGGAAACTTAAAGAGCTGTGAAAGGGGAGGACAAGAATAAAGACATGGAGGAAACCAAGCTGCCCGTGACTAATGCGATATTAGGGGATTCCGGATGAAATTGCCCGGCAGAGTGCGAAGATGGGCCCGTGTGTCTCTGCCTGGCTCTCTCGCCGTTGGACAGCTATAAGGACGGATTGGAATGGGTGATAAGGCTCCCGTGACGCACGCGCGGACTAAGATACAAGGGGAGAACATCATTCTCCCCACCCCCCTCGCTCACCGTGTGCTAAAATGGGATCAATATGGTTCCGGGCGTTCGGGGGAAAACGAAACAGCCTAATGGTGGACCCACCAGCGCCAAGGAGGGCTCAAGGGGTTAGAGCGGGGGTTGAATCGGCCTAATGGGCTGTATGATTAAGCCCCAGATGTTCGGAAGACAAACAGCCCGTGCCAGCCATACCTAATGAGAACTGTACAAAAAGACCCACTCAGCGATGGGTATCGGCCGCGCCAAAAGACCGAGAGGTCCTCACTTACCTTGGATTAGACATCCCAAGAAAACTGCGTAGCTCCATAAGTGTTTCATGTTTGAGGATTGTTGTTGGGTCCTCGGAGGGGGTCCTCGGAGGTCCAGGGAAGGGAAGGGTACGTGTCCAGCGCTCGACGATCCCCAGGTCAGAGACGAAGTCGCCGGGCTGCAGTGAAAAACACCCAGCTGGTGCCTACGAGGCTTGCAGCCCGCTTTGCCGTACTCCGTGGAAAAGAATGTGCCTTTCTGTGTCTCGCTCGTTGTACTTTGAAGCTCAGCGCCCGGTTTGCATTTACCGCTTATCGACACTTTCTCTGCTGCCATGCAGTCTCGTTGCCGCTGCCGATAAGAATGATGTTGGCCGGCACAATGCGTGCAGTACACAATACCAGCCGACGCATTCACAGATTGAACATCTTATTAGAAAGCCCTGGGATACACGTGCCAATTATTACGCTCGACTGACACGCTCGGCAAGTGTACAGTGTTGACCGGCCGAATCGCCTCCAGTCAAGCCCCCGTGACGACCAAGTTCCCGTCCCTTCCTCTTCGCCGAAATCTAGGCGCTTTCCTCCCCCGGTAGATAAACGCTGCCTCTTCCCCCAAGGCGGCTGCAGCATCACTTCAAGACACGTTGACTCGCTCCGAAGAGCCGATACCCAATAAAATGCCATCCAACTCCAGCCACTCGAGAGGGTATTTTTGAGGGGGGTCACGTGTTACGGAACTGTGCCCATTACCGCGCGTTTTCGGTAGTAAACGAAATGTATAGGTTGGATGCGTATTCGGTCTTTGCCTTAACACAGGTTGAGCATACGCGAACTGACAAGCGCACAATCCTCACAGGCATTTTGAGGATAAAAGTAATCTTCCTCGATCGTAGGCATTAATACCTTGATTGCTTAACAATCGCTTGGTGATTTCAATCAACATAATAAGACCTCGACATTTAGTCGTGCATTTGGATGCATAAATCACCGGACGTGTTAGTTACAATGCTTCGCTTGACATTTTAAGTGTCAAATGTTGCACTATAGCCAAATCTACCAACTTGAACGGGCCGAGTAACTTCCTGGTGAGAACGATTACCAATGTATTTAAAGATTCTGACTTAAAGGTGTTGCCTCACGATAACTATTTACACCAATACAACACAACAAAGAAATGAGAGCAAATATTCCGTCAAAGTGACAACTCGAAAATTCTTGTCTGCAGATGGAAGACACCGTCACAATGACGGGAAACGAGTGTAAGGGGAAGATGTTTGGGTGAATTTTTGCGGAAAAAATTTGCCCGAGCGAAATAAATCACCCCATCTTTATCTTCTGCTGATTTGTTAGGTGTACAGATTTGTTGCAGTGAAAATTGGTAAAGTTTCAAAGAGCGCTCAGCTGTGACAATACGTAATATCCCTGTATGATGAGTGTCCTTAGCTGCCACGGCTGACTGACGATTGGGCAACGTTACACAATGTCTTTTAATCGACTTGACAGTTCATGAGGAGAAAGTAGCCAAAAAGGTATAGGGTAACCTTTTTCTTATATGGTTAATTTGTGTCCATTAACTTTTTACTTAAGTTTGAGGGATTTGGTAATATAATACATGTGATTCGACTGAGAAGCAGATTCTGTGATGTCGGAAGACTTAACCTCAAGGACGGGAAGCGCTCGTGAGAGGCAGTAACCATGACAACCAACGTGATGTCTTCGCTTTCATAGACATCCCTCTTAGTTTGCGTCACGGGATAGAGCAAGATGTACTTTTATATAATCAGGGACGATTTGGAAGCCTTGGATTTGAGTCTATATTATTAAAGAGAGAATTTTTTACAGTCAAGGACGAGGATGGAGTTCACGCAGATAGTCATGCTGACTTCTGACTTGGATGTTTGCTCTTCGTGTGGTTGCGGATAATTATGTTTGAATGCGACAGGCTTGTGGGGATTTTTCCCTACTTGAGAAAGGAAACATGTTTTGTTTTTTTTTAACTGAGAAAACTTGCGATATTGTATCCTAAAGTTCCTTCTTTGTCTCTGTTAGTATCAGGCTGGCACAGTTGCTGCAGCTCCGATATCCTGAAGAGAAATACTCTTCCGCCATTCTCCTAGCATTAAATCATTCACTCACAGTGACAAAACACAATAAACGACCGTTAACGAAGAAGACACCAGACCATCCAACGAGACAGTGTTGCTTTAGTCCGGAAACTGGGCACATAGACTTGAACTGAGACGATCAAGTCGGAATTTTTTTGTACGTCTATGTATCAAGTGACATGGCTTGAGATTGCAATGCGCAAACAGTATTTCAAAACCGTGTCAATTGACTGAAATTATAATTACTGCCATATTGAATTGCCTGCATCAAAATGTTGAGGTCGTATCTCTTGCTGCCATGCTATGGCCTCTAAGCTACAACGTTTCAGACAGAGATTTCAATTGGATGATTTTTGTCTGAGGTTGTATCCAAGGCAAGAGAATGTTGATGCTTTGATCTGCGTCCAAGCCTCTCTCTCTCTCTCTCTCTCAGGGCTGACGCGACATATCACTGATTGCGTCTCATACACCAGATGCCAAGTCAGCAGGCGGGTCCATGGCCCCCGTCATGACCAACATCAGGGATAATCCATCAGCAGACAAAACAGGCCTAATTATCCGGAGACGAGGAGAGACGGGAAAAAAATCAATTATTGTTCCACCAGCGGAGCGAGCCAGAAGGCCTCAAGGTTAGATGACATCATTTAATGGTAATCATTTAATAAAACGCTTGAATAAAAGATTAGATTTGTTTGGATTTTTTGGTTACCTGTTGTCGATATTGTGGCGCTTCTTACCCGGAAAAAATATTGTTTTTCTAATCTAAATAAATGCATTTTAATCCGGGCAATCTCCGTCCATTCTCATAAATCAATTCCCTTCTCGTTCCGAACGAAATGAAACACGTAGGCTAAACAACATTTCTTTGCCTTGAAAACGATTCACAGAAATCGAGAGCACGCGTTTGAAATCATTTTGTGATGCAAAATACTTCATCCAAATCTATGTGTCACAAATAAGGAAATGTACCAACCGACGCACATGACAATTTGTCAGTATTACACGAAACATGTAGTACGTTCATTTCAGGCCTGGAATCAATGATTACTGCATGAGTTTCAATGCAGCAAATCGAAACACTGTTGGCAGTACAGACGGTAGGTTCTCATAGTTACAAGCAGCTATCGATTGAGTTATAGCAGTTGCCCCCTTGATAACAGAATTCGTAGAAAAGAACGTGGTAAATATTTTAACGTTACACATGGTGTCTTGAAACAATATGTATCGATTCCCTATGATTTCAACCCCAGTTTTTCGGTCGCATGCTCCCGAAAAATAACCCGGTTGCGCTCGGCGTCGATGGCGGGGAGACGGATGTTGGTAATGGCTGTAGATGCAGAGTAGATGGGGGAATTGTCTTCGATTGAGGAAGAACTGGGTCGTGTTTCCTACATAATGGACGAGTAGTCGGATGTTTCCTGGCAAGGTGAAGGCTCAGTATACAAGGAGCTTTTAGTTTTTCTCAAACGCCGTCGGCATTTCTGTGTGGTCTCTCTCCAGAATAGGAAACCAAGCGACACTTTTGTTTTTACATCAACTGAGCCTCCCAAAGTATTGTCTTGGAAAATTGGAGCCAAGCGGTCGAAGACCTCAGTTACCTTATGGCTCTTTCAGAAAATGAAAAAAAAAAGTGTTTGAGTTTCTCCCCAAAGATTTTCATTTTACTCAGAGTAACATTTGGGGTAACCTCATTAGATAATGCAGATTGAATTTTCAATTAGTTGCACACCGAATTGTTGTTATTGTTGCTTCAGTAACTGTTGACTATGGGGCCTGAGCGGAACCAGGAAAAGGGTGCAAGTTTCCTAGCAACGGCAGCTCCCTTGGTATAGGAACTATACTTCGCTGGTTCACAGTCGACTATGAACTACACGCATTACAGTCGCGTTGCTACCAACAAAAATAATGAACTCTCCCCACCAACATGGCTCTTTTCAACTGATGAGGGGGTGCTTCAGCTCAATGTGGATTGCTGGAGCAAACAACGGATGAACATCTGCTTGCACAGATGTTGAAATTTTTAATTTCATGAATATAAGGCATATATACCAGCCTGTCAATCTTCCGAACGCAATTTTGGAAAGTGCATATGGCACTGTAATATCTGTATTTTTTGGCTTCCGGGTATACGGGCGAACACACGGGGCTAAGGACGCCGATGCACCATTATAGCTGACCACTTGGGGGTGATTTAGCGGCGGACAATAAACGACAATGTTCCCAGTTATAATTGAATTGCCCAAGGATGCGTGTTTTCCTCTCCCAACCCGGCCACATTTCACTGTTGCCTTGTCACCCAGCAAAGGTCAAGAGAATAGCTACCTCCGCGGTGCAGTTTACCTGTCCATTCGACAGTAACGTGAAACACGATGGAGTAGCTGCAAGTTGGTTCAATATAATCCTCTAGAGCGAAGACTAACTCGCAATTCATAAGAAATTTATCAATCTTTTAATTCCGATGTGTAATTGTCGCTTCACTAGATACGCAAACCGTCGTTTTCTTTAATTGAAAGATCCTATTTCTTTCAATAAAATTTGGTAAACGGTAAATAGAATGAACTTTTTAATGTTAGTTCATCTTTGCAATCTTGCTAAGCTTGGCAACCAGTCTTCAGCAAGTGCTTTATGCCTTACAGTGTAGAACCACACGCTTTGGAGTCAACGACATTGCCTAATAATTATAATTTTAGCAGGATAAGAGAGAGAGAGATTTCAGGATGGTAACAAGAAACGTGAACTTTGTGTGGCAATTCTTCATCGTCATTGTGGAAACTAGGCGTTGTAGACTTCGCCTCGAGTCAAGCCCTCTGATGAACTGAGCAAAGTCAAATAGTGAGTCAGACTCGAGTGGAGGCATTTACTCAAGTCAGTGCAACCATGCACAATTTGGAACATTATATTCATCAACCAGGTTTATTTTTTCCCTTCCCGTGAATTTCCTAAACTTTTCTCTTCACTCTATCACCGCACTGTCAAGAGCCAAAGATGATTTTGGTTCCTCACTGGGAAATTAAACCAATACAGAGAAAAACACAGACCGATGCATGCAGGCACGTTTAAAGAAAGGCGTTCCATGTCGCACATACGTCACGATGAAGTTGTCGGAACTCTCGCCGCAAATCCTCCTCGTGAGTTGAGACGTAGCCTATGGGCGGATCGGATTCAAATTATAGAAGGGCCAAGGGGGACAGCCAATAACGCGCGAGAGTAATCTTGCTCTCAAAGAACCCCCTTCTCCTGCGAATAACGGTAAAGCGAAGAAGATTGGCAAGGTGTTGATCAACTGCAAACCGACGGACTCTTTTCGTTTTCCTTTCCGGCTCCTTATATCTCTTGAGAATATGTGCCGTCTTTGCATCGAGGTCTCGCCAATATAAATCGAGTTATTAACACGCCCCGACTGGGCCCATAAGGAGACGGCATAATGAAGGTCCATTTAGCGAGCACCTGCACAGCAGATTTCCCCACAATTGATGGCAAGGGATAAATGGCCACATTTTCACGCGATTTGTCTATCTGCAAATTAGCTCCTTTATCATGTGTGTCTTCGGCGGGGGAGCGTTTGCACAGTTAAAATAGGTGTGCGTATTATGTGCGATCGAGGCGCTCTGTGTATTCCATCGATTTTCCCTTAGGTGTGGATTTGCGGTACACCACGGACTTGCCGTAAGGAGAGTTGGTCCTGACATCATGCACGCACATGTATGTGTTGTGATGCTTGAGCCTGAAATCTAACCCGGTACATTCCGACTCTAGTCTAGTTTCGTCCATGTTGCTTTCTGCAGCTAGACAAATTCAA